CACCGAAGGCGTACAGCACGCTGAGTGCGTTACCGAACGCTGACTGGCATGACAGGGGCGAGTTGGCGTGCGCACGCGCATCGCCAACGACTATTGGCTGCGGCGCTGGCCTTACGCGGCACTCTACCGCGCAGTCCCTGCACCGCGCATCACCTGCCGGCACGCTGCTACCGCGATATGCGGGCAGCGCACACACGACCAACACCCGTCGGCCGTCCAGCGTTTCCTTCCGACAACCTCAACCTAAAATAACCTCACATGACTTAACATTACAATATACTGACTTTACTTGAAAATTACTGAACTTGCCCAAAGGACCCACACATGGCCGAGGTGCACTCGCTACGTGCGAGTTCACTGCTCATGACCCCTTTTCCGATCAACATGAAAACTTCCCGAACGACTTAACATAACTGAACATAATATGACTTAACTTGATCATTTAGACCTGAATTGCTCGAACAAATATGACCATGACGAGAAATAACACGGAGCGGCCGTGACACGCACACCACGTGCGGTCCTTGGCTTTAAACCAATTTTCTCGACCGAACCTCTACTTTACTCGACAACCTCCACTTAACTAAACATAAGACACTTAATAAAGGCCAAAGAAACAATAAACATTCGGGGCTCGTCGGAACGAAACGGACGTAATGGGGTCTCGCCTTACGTATGAACTTAACCGAATTTAACATGAACTTCCTTACAATTTCTGAAAATTACTCGAACAATTAACCTTAAAATGACCTTACTAACATGAATATAAGCTGAGGAGGATATACCTTCTGCAATTACTCGATCGAATTACCCCAACTGATCACAAACTCCTTGCTCCGGTTGTGCGTGACTTGCCGTGCGGTAGCTTCGGTATATGCCGTACGATAATATGAAAAATTTAGGTAATTGTTGTGACTTATTTGCTGCTGAGGAAGGTTAGTATATGGCTGCTCAACTCTTAGGGAAAAAAAATGGGAAATTTCACTCAAACTCCTTCTATTTATAATGATGCCGAGGGAGGGAGATGGGGTGACGTCTAGGAGACGTGGTCTCATAGGTATTAGACATTTGCACTTAATTTGGGGCTTTTAAAGATGACTAAGCCCTCAACAAAATTTCCTCCTAAGGCCACGTAGGCTTGTTAATGAATGGGAGACATTTAATTTTCTAAGACATAGGAAATTACTTAGCAAAATTTGGGAAAATCCAATTCCCGTACGGCTTAATTTAATCCCTAATGCATGCTTTGTTAGTATTAAATAAAATTAATTCCTTAATTTATGCTTAATTATTTAATTAAACATAATGCTTAGTTACCAAAATTATTCCAAACGTAAACGGTACGTCGAAAATAAATTTCGGTAATCTCGACTGAAAATAATTAATTCCGACAATAATAATCGATAATGTTATTATATCGGAATTAAAACATAATTTATACCGATAAAATATCGGGATATTACAGGGCGTGCTACGCGCACGCTGTGTGCGGACAGGCACTACGGTCGGCCTTTCGTCGGTCGTCCGGCTACTATTTCCGGCAACCCTTATGTGACTGATCATAATTTGACTTGACATGACTAAATATGCATGAATTGTTCGGGACTTGCCGGTTAAATTTTGAAATTACTCG